AGGGTTTAGGGTTTATGGGGGTTCAAGGGTTCACGGGTTGGCGGGCCTTTTCAGAGTGTAGCAAAGGTGTAGGGTTTAGGGCCTAGGGTTTTGGGGTTTAGGGCTCAGAGTTGGGGCGTTAGCAAGTAGACTATGGTTTGGGATAGTTATAGTGAGGAACCCGAAGGAAGAGTATGGGCAGTCCTTCAAGCTTCTGCATGAAGCTGTAGGTTCCAGGGTTTAAAGCCTTTTGCCTTGGACAAGGGTCTCTGTAAAGCGGAGGATTTCGGGGATTTCATGGCTTCTTGATTTTTCCTATACCTAAGCCCTAAACCGGGCTAAGAATGGAGGCTCCAGGGTGCAGGGTTCCGGCTTTGAGATTTCGCCGCTCGCAACTCGGATAATGCAGGGGCCTTCATTCAAGCAATTAGAATAGGGTTTTGGGGCCCATTATACTGTAATGAGGAACCCCCAAAATAGTATAGGTAATTATTAGGGCCGCTATATTATACTATATTGATGCAGGTGGGCCATGTGTCTGAAAGTCGGCTGGGTGAGACCATGCGGGACTGTTGCAGATACAACAACGAAGCCAAGGAGCAGGGTGTAAGGGCTTCCTAGACCCCCCAAAGTTTTTTGTCACCCCCCAAAGTAGGTAGAATAATGGCCCAAAACCCATAAAGAGCTATTATTCTACATGCTTTTAGGGTCCAGGTTGGGGTTTAGGTCCATTGCTTTTGTTGACTCCTGCGTTGCTGAACGAGTCGCCAGGCGGGGTTAACAGAATGGTCTTTGGGTTTCGGGATTTGTCAAGATGGGAATTTCCGAAAATAGAGGTACCTCATTTGGGGGTCCTTATAATAAGGTTTGTACTATTTATAAGGTACCATATTAGGGTCCCCTATTTTGGGATTTGTCCTTGCTGCATTTTGTTTGCCGTGCTTGCCTTGGCTTGCTTTCGGTGACCCTTTGGCGAAAGCTTGCAAGAAACAGGAACAAAAACCAGAACCTTAACTACATACCCTCAAGCCTCAAACCCAAAATGCTTTCTAGTAGAAATGAATACAGCCCTTGTAAAACCACTATAGAGCCCTTGACACCCAAACAGCAGAACTCTGCTGTGTCCAGTGGCCTGCAGCCTTGCCGACCTGGGAATTTTCGCACAGCAGAAGCAGGGCTTGTCATAGCGTTGCTTTGGGCATTGCTTGAAGATTGTTCGCACGCTTTTTTGGGCTTCAGATCGGGAGTCGGGGCACGGTCACCTAGGATCTCGGGTTTGCTTACACTGAACTCTTCCAGGCCTGGATTCAGCGGAAATCCTAAGTGAGAGGTCCCTGGACCCAAATACCTAAAAATCCGCAAGGCCCTCAAGTTCCACTATAGAATACCATAAACATCTTACAGGAACCCTTCAATTGTTAAAGGAGCCCTAAAAAGGCTCGAAAAGCCTGAAGCCCCAGGCCCAGCCCCAAAACCTACAGTTGAAGCCTAGAAGCAAGAGACCATGTAGACGCCTAAGCCCTAGACATCCCTGGACCCTTAACCCTCGGCATCCCTAAACCCTGCAGGCCTTTAAACTCGGCAAACAAGCTCAGACCGTTTTTTTGACAAAAATCCCTAAAGCCCTTTTGCCTAAACCGAAACACCCAAGGGCTCCAGCCTGTCCCGGTTCAACTGCCGGAAGATCCGGCCGGCGTTCGACTCCACCATGAAATTCCTGGAAAGAAAAACCGCCGGAGTGTATGCTGATCTTAAAAAGATGGCGATAAGGGCTGTATAGGGACCTTCCAGACAACGCAATTTACACGCTCTTTTGCGGTTTCTGCCTAAAAGCACAGTTTGTACGGCATTGATAGCTTTGCTATCAAGGGCTTCATAGAGTGACATGAGCTTCCCGGTAAGGGCTTTTCGAGTTCTCATGATAAATCGCAGTTTCGACTGCATTGATAAGGCTGGCATGCAGGGCTTTATGGCGGTATATGGCCTACCCTCAATATTTGAAGGTTGTTCCTTCGGAGCCCTGAACCTCAAAAGCTCTAAGGCCGAAAAGAGGACGCCGCAATGCAGCCCATGGGACGGCTGCTGCCGGCAGAGGCACCATGGTGCAGCCCATGCAAGCCAGTTGGGGAGGATGTGCTGATCGACATGGAACCTTGTGAATCTTTTTACGTTAATAAACAGTGGAACACCATCAGATGTGTGTCTAAACTTAAACTATGCTATGCTATGTAATCATTTCTTCCGCTTGGGTTTGACCTCTGGCTTGGGCACGTCCAAAGGCAGACGTCTTGTGGTTTTGAGGCTTTTGAGGGCCGCGGGTTGGGGGCTGCAGGGTCCTAGGCTGTGGGGGTTGGCATTCCACTACGACGCGAGGTTTCGACATGTTTTGACCATCGCCTACTACTACTACTACTACTACTACTACTACCACTACTACTACGACTACTACTACCACCACTACTACTACGAATGTTACACTAGATGCAAGCTCCATTTGCTCATTTGCCATCGAGACACGCAAAGAAGAGCACCGCCATGGTTTCCACGAGGGATGCGCAACAAAAGACCGTATTCACGAGCATGAAAAGGTCGATCCAGAGGAGTTCGCCACAAACAGGGACGAAGGAAGCTCCCGTTGTCTTCATGACCTCAGCTCAGCTTAAGTACTACGAGATCTAACAGGCAGCTTCGATGTTGTGCATGTATACTTGGATCTGTTCACACAAACACACACAGAGACGCGCAAACGGATACGGTGCCTACCTACATGTTACATGACGATACAAATAAGCACACAAATGAACATGTGGAGTGAATGTAAGCCGCGACGTTGACATAGGTGCTTCTGTGTGCGTGTGTGCGTGAGTGCGAGTGTGTGCCTTCTCTCAGATACCTCCTGACCCTAAACCCTGGACCCTAAACAAGCACAAAGTCCACAAGCTGCTCGTCCAAGCCTCGGGATGACTGCACAACCGATGTAAGCACTAGAAAGCTCTCCGTTCCAAAGCGAAGCCGACGCTCAGCTGCGGAAAGCCTACACCCAAACTCCGAGTATCGTAAGCTCTCCCTTAACACAACTCCATACACACGTGCATTGGGCACTGTATGCTTCCGTAGTCTTGCTCCTTGCAAATCTCATTAATCCCCTGCCCCCTGCCTCGATAACAAGAAGCAGTGTGATGCCGAAGGACAAGCGCTCTCCCACCTTCAACGCTACGACTTTTGGATTTTGGAGAAACCCCACACTAAACCATAACTCCGAATCCGTAAACGTGGAACCGAACCCTACATAACGAACCCTCAGGCCTCAAGCGAAGGGTTGGACGATTTAGCTAAAACTTCTGTTGAAGCCTTGGGGTGGCAGGGCCTGGGGATCCGCTTCTAAGCGTGAAGCTTGACTCAGAGTGTCGAAATGAATTTCGTGACAACAGATGGCAGTAAGGCGTCCTTGCTTAGAGTTTCCTCAAGATGTTGGACGGGGTGCAATTTACACAGGGAACTGGGGTGCTGGGGATGATGTGAGCGTCGGCAGACAGCTTCAGGCACGTGTACAACAGTATGTACGTCTGTATCTACGTGAGTTAACTACGTGTTCGTATCATCATGAACTTTAAGTTTTCTACCGCAAGGCATACTGTTCTCAACATCGACCAGCTTTCTGCTACGAAGTCTCTTTGCTTGTCATGGCTCTTCCTGATAGGCTCCCCTCGGAGCTTGACAAAGTTCCCATTAACATCGAACCCGGGTCTGGAGTAAAAAAAGTGACACGGCTCGGGCCTTTGATTAAACCCTCAAACCATCAACTAAATCCTAAACCGTATGCTCACTCATGTATGTGAAATTGAGCCAACACACAAGCTCACGACGCTCCGGGTTCGTTTGTGACATCTTCGGGCCTAAAGCTGATTTAATCTATGGAACCATTCCACAGAATGCCTCGTGGGACATGAAAAACACGCCGAAGGAGAGGTAGGTGATGAGCACCGTGGGGAACACGATGAGCAGAGAGTAATAAAACGAAGCTCGCCCCAGTCTCACCGTAAATTTGAGGACTGTCCAGGGCTCACTTGGGTATGCTTCATAAAAGTTGGTCTTTGCTTCCACATCAATCTCCACGATACTGTACTCCTGGTAAGAAGACCCTGCAGTGTCTTCCGAAGTTGATGCGGAGTAGCCCTTGCCGTTCAAGCGGATGCCTTGGAAGCCACCCGAATAGGTCCAACCTCCCCACTCCATCGCACAGGAAAGCTCGTCAAAGGGGAAGGCTACCAAACCGGAAAACTTGCAGAGGGTGTCCAGAAGACCGGGACGACTCCAAAACACGAAACCATCGGAAGTCACCGATGCCAAAGCGGAGTCCAAGGAGAACTCGTTACCGACGTTAGCATTGTAAAGCTGCACATCTGGTAGCCAAATCTCCGTGTTCTCCGCATTGGAGGCATGCTGTGTGCGGAAGTGTGTCGTGGTGATGTTGCCATAAGCAGCCGGATCCCAGGAAAGCCTGGTGTCAGTCCAAGACATCCTGACCCAGACTTTGAGGCGCATTTGCCCCAAGGATGCATCCACCCCTTGAACCTTGAAGATGCGAATCTCTAAAGCCACATCGGTCCCAGCCTTACTATAATCCACATCTCGCTCGCTGCGAGGTGGGACCACGCTGTCATAATCGCGAAGAAGGTCTGCTCTTAGCCTGCTGGCATGATTGGTGTAAGCCACGGTGAAGCCAGTATCTTGCGCTAGCCCAATCTGCAGCTGAAGGAGGAACTGCACGGCCAGTAGACGTCCTGGCATCATGCGCAAGTGGCGAACTTTCATGCCCACACCATGGCGTCTTGATGCGTCTTGTCTACACCCCTTCTTGGCCCCGGAACGCTTCCAGAGTCACGTTTGCCAGGGCGGCACATCGGCAAATTTAACGGCAGAATGCCAACAGCCCATGTAGCCCTGCACTTCCAAATCGTCTAATTAACTGCAGCGATTTCGGCAAAACATGGCAAAACAATGCAAAACAAGGGCCGCACTTCAAGCAAGGCTTTGCAGGACCTTGGTTCACAGGACGAGCGGACCAGTTGCCCCAGCATTTCCCCAGTATAAAATACAAGTTGGAACCGTACAAAGCTGTTCTACGGTTGTCACGTGGCATCGCTAAATTAATTCAGCTGTTCAGAATTCAATCGTAAAGCTGTTCGTTGTTCTTGCCGTGATAGCTGTGATTGCATTGACGCTAAATCATGCGTGATCATGTCTGCACCGCAAGACAAAGCTCAATGACACAATGGGCAGCCATATCGCCCATAATTCCAGGAAGCAAATTGTGCGAGCTGGTGGTAGTGTAAGGACAAGTGTGACAACTCACAAAACAAAATACCAGCATGTTCAATCGTGAACAAAGACGGGACTGCACCATAAATACAATTGGCCACCAAATCCAACAATGTGTCACCGCCCCTGCACCTGCGGTTGTGTCAGTGCCGCCACCTCGCTCACAATCTCAACCTTTGATGTCTGTACGGTTTACTTCTGCTACACTCAAGCTTGATTCTGACAGTGCTTGGCCTCATGTTAGGAGTTCTGGAGCCGATACCGCTTTGCGGAGACCATTTTTTAATTCGGGCAGCATGCACGTGAACAGCGTTGTCCGCAAACGTCCGCAACGATTCCGTCAACTTCGTAGGTCGGATTTCAATTGCTGTCGCCAACCCTCCACGGCCTTCCCAAAACCGGTTTGCTTCGAGCATTCGGAGCTGGTCGTCGTGCTTCAATAGCAGGCGGCCCATCGCCTGCACTAGATCGTGCTCGTCCCGTGCTTGATTGTGTTGCCGGCCTTTGGTGCTTATAGTAGGGAGGATGGTGATGGTGATGTTGAGGATAGGTACGAAACAACAGCAGCAACGGCAACGGCAGCGGCAAGACTAATCTGTGGAGTGGCATCACACCCGGAAACGGTGAGGCAGCTCTTGCTCCTTGGCCGGATTCGCCGGCCCGTCTGTGATGCCGGCTTGGGACAGCAGCAGCACTTTGAATGCACAAGGTGCCCGACCCGGCCTACACACCCCAGTCCCCGACACAGGAAGTTTCGCGCGAAATCAACAGAAAACCGTTTTCCATCACACCCGCATGCGCCGAAGCCCAAGACGCTGCATGTGAGTTTGAATAATCATAATCTTGAAAGTATTTTTTGTGCTGGAGTTGTATCAGCCTGAGGTGTTGCAGCAATGGGGGACGGCAACTGTTGTAGTCCGAAGGCTACTGCGTGGTTCGCTACCATGGCAGTTGATGTGCCAGGGCTGGCCAAAGCCTCATGAGTAGCCCGATGTAGCGGAGTTTGCTTTACGTTTGCTTGCTAAGCTGAAACCGCCATGTTTTTAGGGGGGAGGTGGCAGGGAAGGCCGGAGCAAGATGGCATGACACACGAAAGTGTTGTACGGCGGCCACACAACGGCTTCCTCCGCGCAGACGCTGGCGGCAGAGGCTCGCGTTGCATTCGATGCTGACACTTTGTCGCACCGCAGCCAGCGCTGTGCCCGCCGTCGACGGCGAGCTAGGCGAACGCGCACAAGCCCCGCCGACAGCACCGCAGACATCCACGATCGCGTGCCCACTTGCCCTGCCCCGGCATCCGCCGCGTTGGAGGACGCGTGGCGCGCCTTGGACGCGGTCGATTTGGAATTCGAGTTGCGCAACCCCGTGCCCAAGCTACATGCAAGACGTGCCGCCTTTCATGCGCTCCGCATTGCGGGGAGCACTGCTGCATGCCTTAGCCCGGCTCCACGCCGAGCCCGAGCATGACTCGCGCGACGAAGCAACCCAGTCCCGAGCGTGGAAGTTCTTTCTGCTAGCACCGCGGATGCTACTCGCCCGCCCCCAGCAATGCGGCGCACAGGGACGGACGGAGCTGTTAGGCCGAGCCGAGGCGTTCCAGCGCGCGGCATGGCAGTCCTTGCTCCACTCGGCTCGGCAAAATGCTGCTCCCAGCCGACAACAAGCCGCCGCTCCGCCTCATGCAGGACATGGCCGAGCGCCGAGCGCCAGCGCGAACTGGCCTGCGCCAAAGTTCGCAAAGGCGAGCTTTCGCGGGCACGCCAAGTGTTGACCGCGGCCGATATAGCACCGGGCAACGATGCTACGTGGGCCGCACTGACCGACCCCGTTCGCCGCCCGCCAGAGCCTCGCACCGCGATCCCGCAGGCGCTGCTCGAATTCCAACCGGCCCAGCTTCCCAAGCTCAGTGTCCGAGCCTTGGCTTTGGCTTTGCGCGAGACGCGCAGGGGCGGAGCACCAGGGCTTTCCGGTATGCGAGCGGAGCACCTAAAGGTCCTCATCCATGACGTGCCGGCCATGGAACTCCTTGCCGAAGCCCGCATTCCCGAAACCGTATCGCGAGGTCTGGCTATGGCACGCGTCACGGCTCTCCGCAAACCGGATGGCGGGGTTCGGGGCATTGCAACGGGCGACGTGTTCCGGCGCCTCGTCTCCCGTACGATCGCGAAAGTGTGGTCGCACACGTTCGACCGAGCCACGCGTCCTCACCAATTCGCGCTGCAAGCGAGAGCCGGCACGGACGCCTTGGCGGCTCACATCCGCGCGGCTCTGGCCATGCGACCCGACACGGTTGTAGTGTCCCTCGACGGCCGCAGCGCATACGACTGTATGTCCCGCGCAGCCTTCCTCACGAAGCTGCACCAGGTGGCCCCAAATCTGCTCCCCTTCGTCAGGTTGTTCTATGGCCAGCCGTCCACATACTGCTGGTGGGACGAACAGGGACGTTGCCTCGACATCCGGGAGGCCGAAGGTTTGGAACATGATGCATTAGCCCCGGCATTGTTTGCGCTTGGACAGCACGATGCGCTCGTCCGCGCAGCCGAAGCTTTGCACCGTGACGACAGCCTCGTTGCGTTTTTGGATGACTTGTACGTCGTGACCACCCCAGGCCGTGCCAGCAATGCGCTGGACACGACCGTAGCGGCGGTGGCCACGCACTGCGGCATATCGTCCAATCTGGGCAAGACCCGCGCCATCGCCTCCGTGCCAGGACCGCCTCCCCCAGGCATCGCTGCGCTCGGTGACGATGTTTGGCGGGGCGATAAGCCGCCTGCTGAGCGAGGAGTGGTCGTTTTGGGTTCACAAATTGGCCATCCGGACTTCATCCACGCGTGGGTCGACGAACGCATGCGCACCGAGCAACAGCTGCTGGACCACTTGCCGCAGCTGCCGGACCTCCAATGCGCATGGTTGCTCCTGCACATGTGTGCGGCGCCGCGGGCAAACCACGCCATCCGCACCATGCTCCCATCCATGTCAGCCGCATACGCCACGGCCCACAACGAGGCAATCTGGCAGACGTTGCAGGCATGTCTGGGTGAGGTTCCCGAACTGGAAGCAGAACAGGCCTGCGAACTTGCGACACTCCCTGCCGCACTCGGTGGCCTCGGCTTGCAGTCGGCCACGCGGACTGCTCCCGCTTCTTACTGGGCAGCATGGGCCGATGCATTCCCCGTCATCCACACGGGACTCCCGGACTGCGCCAACCGCTAGTTGGAGCGAGGAGATGACGCTGCCCCGTGTTTCCACGAAGCGGACGACGCCCGCAGGACCCTACAAGACGAGGGGTGGAACGATTGCCCCTCTTGGCGAGCCATCTTGGAAGGCGAGCGGCCCGCCCGCCCGACGGATGCAGGCCCTGGTGACTGGCCACATGGCTGGCAATTTCACGCGATGCGGACTCGCAACCAAAATTATCGCAATCGCGTGCTGTTGCCGGCCCTGCCGCCGAGCTCTCGAGCCATGCTCCGCTCACAAGCAGGACCGCACGCAGGGGCATGGCTTGCCGCCATACCCAGCGAGCCAAGCACAACCTTGACTCCACAGGCCATGCATCTGGCGCTGCGCCGTCGCTTGCGACTACCCCTGCCCTTGAGCCCACACCGGTGCGGCCCCAATCCAGGGTGTGGTCAAACCGTCGATGCATTGGGAGACCACGTGCTCGCCTGTCCACGGACAGGGTTGCTGGCTAGGCGGGCCAAAGTGGTCGAACGCGCTTGGCTGCGCGTGGCGAGAGAAGCAGTAGGCGCGGAAGGCCAGGTCGTGCCACAGCAGTGGCTCGCCCATGCACACAACGGCCCCAGGCGTGCGATCTGACGACCGCCGCCGCCTCGATATGGTCGTGTATATGGGGCCACGTCCAACGGGGGAGCGCTCTGCTGTGACGCGACACTCGTGTCACCACTCACCCGCACTGGACACCCGCAGCCGTGCGGACGCAACGGACGGTGCAGTGCTGCGTGTCGCAGAGGGCCGCAAGCAGGCAGCCTACCCCGAGCTTACGCGCGGCGGGCCCCGACACTTGGTCGTGCTGGGGACCGAGGTCGGAGGGCGATGGAATGCGCAGGCTCTCCGCTTCCTGCGCGATCTCCTCCGCCTCCGTGCGCAACGAGCACCGCCTGCTGTCCGCGCCCCTGCTGCCGGAGGCTGGTCGAAGCGATGGCAAGGCATCGTATCCATCGCAGTCCAACAAGCCGTAGCGGGCACGGCCCTCGGTCGCGCGTGGCCGGCCCTGCCACAAGCGGGACCGTTTGCGGGGCCCAGCCTGGGGGTGCTGGACCTTGCCGAAGGCGCCGGGGTGAGTCGTCTGCCGCTCCGGCATCTCCGGCCGTAGGTTTTTGCTAGGCGTAGCCAGGCGGTGTACTGCCATTGGCATCCCGGACAGCAGGCAGATGGAAAAAGGTGTGTGAGAAAAAAAAAAAAAGAAACACTCTGCAACCATTGGCAGTGCATATGCCGCGAAACGGTTGCTGGGTTTTTTTACACCATACACCTTGCTGTGCTTCTCACGCTCCGTGTGCTGTGGTCGCCCAACTCGGGGGCCAGCCTCCAGAGCTGCAGAAGGGCAGATGGAGGCATGCGGCTGGCCACACGGGACGGAGCCGATGGCTCGGCGAGAATAAACTCACTGGGGAAAGGAGATTATGCAGATTCTCCATCCGTTCGCTGCGCCGGAATGCGGCAAATGCGAAGCGAACCACCGCAGAAGTCTGCAGCCCTAT